AAAAAAAAAAAAAAAAAAAACGTTGATAGTTTATTTGGATGGTTGGCAGAAGTATGGATCAAAAGATGGCCCACTGTGAATGAGTTGGAGATATCTTATAGTGCTGGGTTTATGATGATGAGGGCATTCAAAGGCTCAGGGAAATGGGAATGTTGGAGTGGATCTGTCATAGTCAACTTAATTCTCCCACTGGGGTGATCTGGAAAAGGCACCCTTCACTAACTGTTTGAGAAACAGATTTGTGAGGGGTTCACTGGTGTCCCTAAGGATCCCTGTCATTGCTTTTCTCCATATGCCAGGCCTCACAGTGGGGACCACGGTTACTTCATTGGGAAACTTAAGGGCAATGGGCTTAATTGGATCCCAGAATGGCAGGGGCCAAGTGGCAGCACTCAACCACCAAAGACAAGATGCGTCTACTTACCGTCATGGACAGCAAAAGCAGAGCAATGGTCAGAATGATCTGACGTGTGGGCCTATGATGTGGGCTGTATAGCCACAGTGCTACCCCCAAAAATGAAATAGACAGGAAGCCTACTAAATTTTTTACTGGATTTATATAACTGAAAAAATTTAATGACAAAGGAACAGAGACTTGCCTCAAATCATGGTAGCAGAGAATCACAGGCCTTCAACCAGTTCCCAGATTTGAACCAGTTGACACTCAATATCCCTTGAATGAGGGGTGGCTGGAGGGAGTCTGGCCAACCATAAAAAATGTATTTGGTCAATCATTCTCTCATTCTTTCCCAAAGAGACCTACAGCCTTTTACCAGAGTAACCACACACTGCGGAAAGGGACATGATCAGACATTTCATGAACTACCAGACATTGATTCTGAATTAATGCTGATTCCAGGGGATCCAAAACTTTACTGTGACCCATAAGGGTAGGGACTTACAGAAGTCAGGTGATCAATGGAGTTTTAACTTAGCAAAGTTCTGACTCACAGTGGATCCAGTGGGCCCCCAAATCCACCCTGTGGTTATTTCCCCAGTTCCAGGATGAATACTTGGGATAAAAATACTTAGTTCTCCGCAGAATGCTCACACTGGTTTCCTGACATATAGAGTGAGGGCTACTATGATTGGGAAGGCCAAATGGGAACCATTAGAGTTGCCTTTACTTGGGGAAATTATAAACCAAAAACAATATCACATTCCTGGAGGGGCTGCAGAGATTAGTGCTACTATCAAGGACTTGAAGACTGCAGGGATGGTTTCTCACCACAGTCTCCACTTAATTATCCACTTGGCCTGTGCAGGAGATGGATGGGTCTTGGAGAATGATGGTGAATTACCATAAACTTAATCAAACAGTAACTCCAATTGCAGCTGTGGTATCAGATGTGGTTTCCTTGCTTGCTTAAACAAATTGAGATGTCGCCTGGTACTTGGCATGCAGCTATTGATTTGGCAAATGCCTTTTCCATACCTATCCATAAAGCCCATCAGAAAGAATTTACTTTCAGCTGATGAGGTCAGCAGTATACCTTCACAGTCCTACCTCAGGGTTATATTAACTCTCTAACCCTGTGGCACAACTTGGTTTGCAGGGATCCTGGCCACCTTCCTCTCCCATTATCATATTATCACATTTTCTATCCCATAAAGTATCTCTCCCATAGATGCATTACATTGATGATATTATGCTGATTAGCATTTGTGAGCAGAGGATGGGAAATAAATCCAACAAAATTCAAGGTCCCAGTGTGTGGGCTTCTAGAAGCCCAGTGGTGTGAGGTATGCAGAGATATTCTTCCAAGGTAAAAGATAAGTTTGTTACACATGGCTCCCCCTACAACCAAAAGAAGCACAACACCTTGTGGGCCTGTTTGGAGTTTGAAGGCACATTCTTCACTTGGATGTTTTACTTTGGCCTGTTTACCAAGTGACTTAGAAAGCTTCTAGTTTTGAGTGAGGCCTAGAACAAGAGAAGGCTCTGGAACAGATCCAGCCTGCTGTTCAGGCTGCTTTGCCACTGGGACCATATGAGCCAGTGGTATCTGAAGTGTCAGTAGCATGTAGGGATGGTGTGTGTCGTCTCTGACAGGGTCCCATGGGTAAATCACAGCAGAGGCCTTTGGGATCTTGGAGCAAGGCTCTGCCATCATCCGCAGACCACTACTCTCCCTCCTGGCTCACTCCTGGGCCTTAGTGGAAACTGAATGCTTGACCATGGGACACCAGGTTACCATGTGACCTGCATTTCCCCTTAGGAGCTGGTCATTATCTGATCCACCAAGTCATAAAGTTGGATGAGCACAGCAACAGTCCATCATTAAATAGAAGTGGTATATACTTGAGTAAGCCAGAGCAGGTGCAGAAGGTACAAATAAGTTACATGAAGAAGTTACCCAAATGCCCAAGGCTCTTACTCCTGCTATATTGTCTTCTGTCTCCCAGCATGCACCTATGGCCTCCTGTGGTGTACCATGTGATCAGCTGTCAGAGGAAGAGAAGGCTAGGGCAAAGTTTATGGATGGCTCTGCACTTTATGCAGGCACCACCTGCAAGTGGGCAGCTGCAGCATTACAATCTATTTCCAGGACATCCCTGAAGGACAGCAGTGAAGGGAAATCTTCAAGTGGGCAGAACTCTGGGCAGTGTACCTAGTAGTGCATTTCACTTGGAGGGGAAAATGGCCAGATGTGTGACTATATACTGATTCATGAGCTATAGTCAAAGGTCTAGCCAGATGGTCAGGGAGTTGAAAAGAACGTGACTACACATTGGTGATAAACATATTTGGGGAGAGGTAGGTAGATAGATCTCTCCATGTGGGGAAAAAAATTTTTTTAGAGATATTTGTATTCCATGTAAATGCTCACCAGAAAGTAATCTCAGCAGAAGAGGACTTTACTAATCAAATGGATGGGATGACTATTCTGTAGCTAGCAGTCAGTCAACCTCTTTCTGCAGGAATCCCTGGCATTACCCAAAGGGCCCAGGAAGAAAGAGCTCATGATGGCAGGGTTGGAAGTTATGCATGGGCTCAGCAGCATAGGCTCCCACTCTCCAAGACTGATCTGACTGTAGCCACTGCTAAATGCCCAATATTCTAGCAGCAGAGACCAATGCTGAGTACAGATATGGCAGCATTCCCCAGGGCGATCAGCCTGCTACCTGGTGGAAGGCAGATTATATTAGCTTGCTTTCATCATGCAAAGGGCATTGCTTTGTCCTTACTGGCACACACACTTATTTGCCTTCCCTGCATGTAATATTCCTACCAAAACTATCATCCATGGACTCACAGAATGCCTTATCCACCATCATGGAATTCCACACAGCACTGCCTCTAAGGAACACATTTTATCGCCAAAGAGGTAGCACAGTGAGCTTGTGCTTGTAGAATTCACTGGTCTCCCCATGTTCCTCACCATCCAGAAGCAGCTGGATGATAGAAAGGTGGGATGGCCACTAGTTATAGTACGTGTTTAGGTGGCAATAGCTGGCAGGCAGGGGCAAGGTTCTTCAAAAGGCTGCCAGATATGGATCAGCACCTACTCTATGGTACTGTGTCTCCCATAGCCGGGATACAAGGGGTAGAAATGGAAATGGTACTAGTCACCATTGCCTCTAGTGATCCACTAGCAAAGTCTTTCCTTCTTGTTCCTGTGACCTTATGCTCAGCTGGACTAAAAGTCTTAGCTCCAGTAGGGGGAAGGCTTATACCAGGAAGCACAACAATGATTCCATTAAACTGGAAGCTAAGACTTCCCCAGGTCATACTGGGCTCCTCTTGCCTCTAAATAAACAAACTAAAAAGGGAGTTATAATGTTGTCAGGAGTGACTGACCTAGACTATCAGAGGGAAAGTGGACCTATTACTCCACAACAGGAACGGAAGAGTACACTCGGAGTGCAGGAGATCCCTTAGGGCACCTCCTAGTATCACCACGCACTGTTATTAAGGTCATTGGTAAACCACAGCAACCCAATCCAAGCAGGATGACAGATGGACAAATCAGTCCTTAATAAATAACTCAAGAAGGAGAAAGGAAGGGAAGGAGGGAGGAAGGGAGAGAGAAAAGGAGGGAGAAAGGGATGACTTGCTAAGAGTTACAAAGCTTGTAAGGGAGCAGGGCAAGAGTTCTAACACAGTTTTGTCTGACTCCAAAGCCAAAGCTCCAAGGCCTGAGGACCCATGTTTCATTGTTGAAACCTAAATGCTTTTGGCAGGGAAAGAAGGAGCCATTACAATAGAATTACACAGGATGAGGGTATAAACCTGGACACAGGTCTCCCAGCTGCACTGCCTCTCCAGCTGCCTATGGCCCACCCCAGAATCCTCCCTGCAGGGCTCCAGACCATGGGTCCCCAGAATCTCACCCAGGTTTGAAGAGGCTGGCCCAGCCAGGGATGAACTTCGGATCCCGGGAGAAGAGGAGGATGGCAAACGTGCAGAACAAGATGAAAACGGCCCGCTCGGCAAAACTGTGACACAGAGAGGCAGGTGCCTGGTGACCCTGGGTTCCAGCTGACCTCTGCAGCAGGATGAAGGCTCCGTTCACGACTGACTGGAACCAGGCCCCGCCTCTGAGGAAGCTGAAAAGAATCATTCACTCCCAGGTCCTCCCCTCCCCAAACTCTTTCTCTCATCAGCACAGGGAATTTGCCAGGGTCCTATGAAGATCAAGAACAACAAAGAAACGGTAGGAAACAGACACGGAGGCAGAAAAACAGAAAAAGAGACAGACAGAGAGAGGCAGAGAGAGAAATGGTCACACAGAGACAGACAGATAAATCAACTCAGATGGGGACACACCGTCCTGCCAAGAGAAAGATACACAGGGCACAGACATGGACAGAGGGGTGCACGGTGATTGAGATAGAGAATTCCCAATGCTGGAAGGAAGAGCTGCCCAAATGCATCCACTTCTCAGATTAGAAAGCAGGGCCCAGAAAGGGTTAGAACCCTGCCCAGGGCTGAGCAGAAAGAAGTGGCAGAGCCGCTCCTAGAACTCAGACCTGCTGAGTCTTCGACCACAAGAGAAACACTCATGAACAAGCTCCTAGGAACCATGAGCGATGGTGTCAGATATCCGTGTACAGGAGGGAAAGGGTGCCTGAGATGGGAAGGACAGATGCCCACCCCAAGTGCACCCCGAGAGGCCCTGCAGTACTCAGGCTATCTACCCCAGCACCAAACTGGCTGGGCAAAGTCAGCTACCACCCTCCATCTCCAGGCTCCAGGCAATGGGTGCTGAAACTCCCCTGGGGCTCTCGAGGGACAGGCCAGGAGGTGACTCCCCTAAACTTCCGACACCCAGCTCTTCCCCCACCCCAGGCCTTTCACACACCTGATGGGCCCCAAGTTCTGGAATTCTTCCCGAATCACAACTAGAGCCTTGTCTTCTACGTCCGATCTTATCTCTGATTTCTTCTTTCTCCAGCCCCTGGAATAGAAAGCAGGAGGTCCAGAGTGTCCCTGCAGGTGTGGCTAACTTCTCACCTACCACCCACACCCTCACCTGAAAACTGGATCCCTGCCTGTCTTCCCTTTCTAAAACTGTCCCCACTTGTACCCTGGTTGACCTTTTAAAAATGTGATCAGCCTTATGACTCCCCAGGCTTAAAACCTCCCGTGGGTCAACAGGCTCGTGAATAAACTGGCAAATCAATGAAACAAAATAGAAAGTCTAGAGATAGACTCTATCACAGACATCTCAGGTTGGCATCTCAGGTTGATGTGGAGAAGCGGTTAATGGTGTCAGGCATATAGATCAATAGAAGAGAGCTATACTTAGCACTTACTGAAAGATTTGTACTTTGTGGTCAATTGATTTTGAACAAGAATTTCAAGATGATTCAATGGGGAAGGAATAGTCTCAGCATATGGGGCTAGCATAACTGCATACCTATGTGCAAAGGAATGAATTTGGGCCTCCACTTCATACCATATACAAAACTTAGCTCAAAATGAGTTAAAGACCTAAATGTAAGAGCTAAAGCTATAAAAGGCTTGGCAGAAAACACAGGGGTGTATTTTCATGGCCTTGGATCGGGCAAAATTTCTTAGATAGAACATCCAAACCACAAGGAGCCAAAGATAGAAAAAATAAGATTTCATCAAGATTTAAAATTTCTGTGTTGGGATAAGTGTGTGGCCATCTGGAACAAAAAACCTGAAGCTGGATTCAAGAGTCACACTTTAAAAAGAATTTTGTATGGTAAAAAGCACCATAAGTAAAATCCAAGGGCAAATCGGTGAAAAAATTTACAACTCATATTGGCCAGTAAGTGCTAACTTTTCCAATGTAAAGGGTACAAGTTTGCTGGGGGTGGTAGTGCCTGATTCCCACCTCTTTGGCAGGATTGGAAGTTTGAGTCCAGCATGGGCAACTGTCTCAAAACAATTTTTTAGGGGGGTGCTGGGCATTGAACTCGGGTCCTTGCACTTGCGAGGCAGGTGGCAGCACCGGTGAGCTGAACCCTGGCCCTCAAAACATTTTTTTAAAAAGGATATAAGTACACAATTAACAATTCACAGGAGCAGAAACACTGATGGTTAACTGAGGGCTTGGGCATGGCAGTCGGGCCATCCTTGCCTTCCTCCCATAATCCTCACATCCCTGGAGCTCAAGACTTGAGCATTGAACCTGACATCATGACAGCCACCCTTGTTTTTTGAGGGAGGCCACCCAGTCATTCAGTCCACTGGGAGGTTTGGGCTGTTCGCTGCCCCCCACCCCAGACCACCCCAGAAAGTAGAGGAGAGGTACCTGAAGCTCAGCCCCCCATAGAGGAAGGAGATCCAGAGCCAGCCCACCAACAGGAACAGCAGCATGAGGGGGAAGGCGAAGATGAACCAGGAGCCAAAGTTCACTACATCGCACTGTGGGAAGAAACTGTGGGACAGTGGAGGTGAGCAGACCACGCTCAGCCAGTGGGCAGGCAGAGAGCGGGCCAGGCCCCGGGCTGTCAGGGGATAGCACCAAGGCACCCTTTGCTCTTCCTTGGGAATGCTAGACCTGACCTGCTGCAACTGTAGGTGCCACCTGTGCCGGGGGTGGGGCACACAGATGCCTGAGACAGTGGAGAGAGCAGGCTGGACTACGTGACTGACAATGATGTGTATGAAAGTACACGGACAAGGGTTGGGGATTAGCTCAGTGGTTCCACTGCCTGCCTCACAAGTGCCAGGGTCTGAGTTCAATCCCTGGTACCCCCAAAAGAAGAACGTACATGGGCATAAACCCAGACATTTCTAAATAAACAACCAACCAAAATATGAAGAGTTACTGCATAATACACAAGCAAATGAACCAAAAAATATTACAAACTATACAGTGGGATTCTGAGAAATTTTCCTTTCTTCTTTTTTCTTTATCTGCATTTTCTACAAAGTATGCCTCTACAATTTGACAAAAAGGAAAAATATTGTTTTAAAAATAGCAAAATATTAATAGCTATGTGGTAAGTCACATAATTCATGAGAGCAAAACAATAATAAAATGAAAACAACCTAAATTCCCATGACTTACAAAGTATGACACTTATCCAAAATAGCTTAATTTAGTTATTAAAATTTTGTTTTTTCTATAAAATTTTGTTTCCTATAAAATTATAATGATAAAATTCTGCCTGCCATAAAACTATATATACAGTATAACAATGTTAAATAATGTATACATATATTTAATATAGAAAATCTAAAAGTCTGCTACCAGTGAGATCGTGAGTACTTCAAACTCAATTTTTTTAATATTTTCTAAGTATCTAGTAATGTGTCCATATCACTTTATAGTCAGAATAAACCAACAAAATGGCCTTTGGGAGCAAAGTCAAGGATCTAGGGTGGCCATTTTCTCTGACCCCTACCCCAGGTTCTCGGGTGAAGAACCAAAGCCACAGATTACCTGGGATTTGGGGGGTGGGGGTGGGAGGTACTGGGGATTGAACCCAGGCCCTTTGCACTGAGCTACATCCCCAGCCCCTTAAAGAAAACCTTTTTTTTTTTTTTTTTTTTTTTTTTTGAGACAGGTTCTCACTAAATCACTAAGTTTCCCATCCTGGACTTGAACCCGTGACTTTCCTACCTCAGACTTCCAAGGTGCTGAGATTACAGGTCTGTACCACTATGTCGGGCTCTGGCATTCCACTTCAAGCCTTATTTCCATAACAAAAGGCCAAGGTGTTGCCACTAAATTTGGCATATGATTCACGTGTAATTTACTCAGAACCTTATCTATTTGGTATTTTCACTTAAGCACCTCAGGGCTTGCTTTCTAATTTCTTTTCAGGGTGGCACAAGGTCCTCCTCACAGCAGGGTGGTCAGGCAGCCTGAAAACCTAAGACAGCACCTGCCCCAACCCAGGCCGTCCGGTACCCACAGAGCCCTGGGTCTCCTGCCCAGCCCTGGGATAGCTCCAGCAAACTCCAACACTAAACACTCACCCTCCTCGGGGGAAATTAAGGGAAGGAAGGGCCAGGCCTTGATTCTCTCCAGCCCTGGAGCAGGAACATCCCAGCTTCTGGTCTCTCTGTGCTGACCAACGAGGCACAGCCAGGCCTTGTTCAAAGAGCAGAGGCTAAATGACACTTGAGATTTACAGTAAAATGCTGTGAGCTTAAACTGAGAGGTAAAATATGGCCCCATCCCATACTTCCCAAACCAGAGTCTCCGTTATCAAGGCCTGGATTTTTTTTTTTAACCTCCTTTGATTCCAACGGTCATGTGGGCTGAGCATTACTACTTTCTAGCATCAAATCTAAAATCAAAGATTCATCTTATCCAGGACTAAGGCTTTAAAATCAGCACTTGAGGCCAATCATGAGTGCACTGAAGACTCCCCCATGAAGTAACTTGGTGCAGGACAGACTACCAGGACCCATTCTTCCCCAGCATCCTCCCTGGTTCCGACTCTTTGGTGGAGCACTAGGTAGAGGAATTGCCATACCGAATATCAAATAGTTTCTGCTGCTGTTTGCCAGATGGTTCCATTTGCATTTGTATGAATTGAAGTCTATATACTGCATCTCCACTGTGAAAGAATCTTCGGAACCCAGCCCCTCAGAATCCTGGAATCTGAACATTGTGGGCAGAATCTGGAATCTTTAAACTCTAGACACTAAACTATGGGAGAAGAAGATGAAGTCCCGCAGTGTCCCCATAGCTCATATCCTCAGCTCTCAGGCTCTGCCCAGATATCACCTCTGCAGAGGGGCCAGAGGTTGCCATAGGACTCTGCTCTGGTCCCTTCTACCTTCTCGCCCTGCTGTATTTTCTTTTAACTGTCACACACATACAACATCCACTCATTTTTGTTTAATGCTGATCTCTCCCACAGAATGGACTTCCTGTGAACTGAGACTTGCCGGAGTCCTCGGTACAGAGGCCCCGGGTGGGGAGGGAAGAGGGACGGGAGTGGAGAGGAACCTCGGGCAGGCAGGGATGCTTGCTCTCACCTCTTCAGCTGGCCCAGCAGAATGAGGTTGGGGGCTGTGCCTGTGAGGGTGGCCGTGCCCCCAATACTGGCCGAGTAGGGGATGGAAATGAGGAAGCCCTTCCAGATGTTCCTGTGGTACTCCTCTTCCTTCTTGGAGTCGGCGAGCAGGTCCAGTGGCGCCTCCACCTCCTCGGAGTGGCTTCTGCTTTAAATGACCCAAAGAGAAGCTGATCAGAATGCCATCAGAATTGCTGGCCTCCCGGACACATGGGCCACATGCTGCACGGAGCGAGCCGGGGGAGCCAGGCGGTCTTTCCAGAAGTAAAGTGTCACAGGCACGGAAACGCTCCAGTCCCACTCTTCTACCCAAGAACTTACCCCAGAGAGATAACGAGACAGGTGCTGCCGGTGTGGGCACCAGGGAAGCCACCATGGCATTAAACGTACTTTTAAAACATCAGAAACAACCTAAATGTCCATCAAAAGGGGACTGGCTGCCAGGTGTGGTGGTGCACACCTGTAATCCCAGAAAACTAGGAGGCTGAGGCAGGTGGATCACAAGTTTGAGCCCAGGCTGGACAATGATGGACTTAAGGAGACCCTGTCTCAAAAAGGGGGCTGGGGCTGGGATGGTAACTTAGTGCAAAGGCCCTGGGTTCATCTCCCAAGGTGTAAGTGAAGGCATCGATTTTATCTAGGTTTGGGTTTTTTAAATCTTCGTGTTTCATATTGTTTTGGTGCCTTTCCCAGGGGAAATTATGGACATTTTCCTCCTTTAATCCTTTAGTTGAATTTTTTGGGTTTTCCTAGTACAGTTCATTTTGAGGAAAAATAAAATTGAGTTATTAATTATATCATTAAGAGATCATGATGTTGACATTAATTTAATGAGGTGAAAATATGTTCCCTATAATCCATCGAGGGACATAGCAGGTTACAAAACAGTATAAATGGCATGGCCAGCTTTTAAAAAAATTTTCAAAACAATAATATATAGACATATCAAGAAATCATCTAGAATAGTATTCACTTAGCTGTCTCTAAGCATGAGATGCTGAGCGTATTTTAAAAGAGTATTTTTTGACTTGAATTATCGTAACATTTCTAAGAAGATAAAATTAAGAACTTCCATTAAGTATGTGAGGCAGGGGCCGGGGATTTAGCTCAGTGGTGCCACACCTGTCCTGCAAGCACAAGGTCCTGAGTTCGATCCTGGTACCATTAAAAAAAAAAAAAAGCTTATAAAATATAGAGGGGAAAAATATATTTCCTTTACTACATGCCTTTGAGCCAGGGATGTAGCTCAGTGGTGCCACACCCGCCTGATAAGTACAGGGTCCTGAGTTCAATACCTGGTCCTGGAGTTGGGGGGGCAGGGAGTATGTGAGGCAATGGATAGATATATTAATTAGCATGACTGTAGTGATCATTTTACTATATATGTGTGTGTGTGTGTGTGTGTGTGTGTATCTCAAAACATCACATCACATTGTATATGTTAAAAATACTACTTTGTCAGTTATATTCCATAAATCTGGAAAAGAAATTAAAAGTAAAGGCAGAATTGCTTCTGCATAACAAAACAATTTTTTAAAATTATTATTTTTAAAGAATAAAGATAATTCAAATACCTGCTGGCCACTTAATGGATTTCTTCCCAGAGGGCAAGGGGACCTGACCTGTGGGCTGAGCAGTCGGTCTTCAGCCTGAGGGAAGGCACAGACTGGAGCAGCTGGAGATCGAGTTCATGGTCAGACTTTGTAGGGTACAGAGGCCTGATCAGGAGCTGTGCCCCCAGGTTCCCTGCCAGACTGAGCCTCACATGGGGGAGAGGGCAGAAAAGGCCCCAGCGTTCATCTGGTACAATCTCTACTTTGTTCAAATAGGAAAACTGAGGGCCAGAGAGGGGAAGGGCTTTGCATCTAATGAACAGAGACCTACAGAGGGTAGGGACTAGGTCCTTTTCAGCAGGCCCAGCACAAGCTCTGAATGGTCAGATGTTGAAAATGCATGCCTAGGCCACATGGTGGTGAGTCGTTGGTCCAGTCACAGAACCCGTGTCTCAAAGTCAGATTTAAAGTCTTCAAACATGGCTCCAGGAAGGAGCACTGGCCGTGGGGCACACCAGCCATAAGATCGTGTCCCTCCTTCTTGGCTGCCATCCTGTTCAAAGTCAAGGCTTCAGCAGTGGCCTGTGAGGTCCCAGAAGCCCTTTCCCTCCACCAGCACCTCAGCACTCAGGCAACCTCTCAGACCCCACATCCTATGATCCTCTCGCCTGGTTTCAGCCACACTGGCTTCCTGGTGCCTCTCTGGACCCTCAGGAACATTGCATCTGCTGGTCCATCCCCCTGCTCGGAACACTCTCTCCCCAGCCCCCTCCCTTCCTGCAGGGGTTTGCTCAGGCTCAATTCCTTGGGAGACCTTCCCTGACCACCCACTTTAAAGCTGCTTTTCCCACCCTCAGTCCACTGCCCTCTTCCTGCTTTGTTTCCCCCCATGGTACTCACCAACCATAGGATGTAATATGGGTTTTATAAGTTCCTTTGCTTCTTGCCACTACAGCATGAGCTCCACAAGCAGTGGGAGTTTTTTGTTTTGTTTTTTATTTTCTGTCCTTTGCTGTAACCCCAGGGCCTGGCTTGTCACAAGCCCTCAACCAATGTGTGTTGAGTGAAGGAAATAGACCCAATCAATGCCTGGCCCTGCCTTTAGCAAATCACCTTGCAAGGAAATCTCTAAAGCCCCCCAGCCTCAGAGCAACCTCGATGATTCAACGTGTCCCCCACCCTCCCTGCACAGAACTTAACGGAGGCCCTAGAGGCCCACGTTGAGTCCACAGAGGCAAATCGTGGACATCTGGGCACTGGGTTGTTGGGAGAGAAGCTTGGGGCCGGAAGGGCTGGGCTGCAGATCAACTCTTCTCATCTCCCTGAACCATGCCCTGCCCCTCAGTCCACTCCACCAGGAACTTACCCCTCTGGGTGCGCGCTGGCCAGAAACTGAGTCTCAGCAGGCACAGTGTGCAGCCCGTTCCCCCGCACAGCGCCTGGGGAAAGAGCACCATGGCTTTAGTGCAAGGTGGCAAAAGGAACAGGAGGGCCCAAGTTTCCGTGCAGCCAGTCAAGACTGCGTCTTCATTGCCAAGGACCCCATACTATCCACTGCACAGAAAAAAGAAAAAGAGGAGGGTTGAGGGTTCGAGGGAGAAGACTAAGCACCAACATTCCGTGCTGTCGTCCCACCATCCACCCACATCTGGGATGGCCCCAGGCCTGTGGGCAGGGAGCAGCTGCAAGGCTGCTTAACAACCCATAAGTCAAGCCGAAGCTTCCCCAAGCAGCCATTGCCAAGCGGGTATTTGGGGAGATCAGCCGAGTGAAAATGGGCCAGCAACAGGATGGGTGATCTCCACTGTCCAACACAGTATTTACTGAGCACCTACCGTGGGCTATGGACTATGACTTTGGGGTACTCAGCCAACAACATAGGACAAGGTCCCTGTTCCCTGTATTCTAGGAAGGGAGACAGGCAATAAGTGAATAAAGACAATTTCAAGGAGCAATGAATTTATGGAGGAAATAAAGCTGGGGAATGAGGTGGAAAGTGAAAAGTAAGGAGAGCAGATGGACAACGGCCCTGAGGCAGGAGTGTGTCCATTGTGCTGGGAAGCAGGAAACGTGGGGCAGGGGAGGCCCAAGAGAGGAGAGTAAGAGAGCTTAGTGGCGGAAGTGGCAGGGTTGTCAGGAAACAGGGAGGATCACACAGGCCTTGGGGCTCCAGGAAGGACTTTGACTTCTCTGAGCCAGGTGGGGGGCAGGGCAGTGTTTGAGCAGAACAGGCTGGGACAGGATTTGACTTCATTTCTGAAGTGTCCTTCTGCTTATAGACCAGACTCTGCAGTAGTTTTGACAGTGTTTTTAGATAAGAAAAATGGAATGAACTAAAAGTTCCTGCAGCTGGAACCATCATGAAGGATTGAAGAATCCAGCCCTGGGCGCTAAACATGTGACCCTGGGTTCAAATCAGCTCTAGCGCTTACTAGTGACCTCGGGCCAGCGGTTCCAATTTAGGGCTACTTCCGCTCCCAAGGGACACTGGGCAAAGCCTGCAGACATTTTTGGTTGTCACAACCAGGAGAAGAAGAGCACTCTCCTGGCATCTGTTGGTGAGAGGCCAGGAACGAAGCAACCTGTAACACTCAGGCCAGCCCGTGAGAAATCCTCCCACCCAAAATGCCAGTGGCGCTGAAGCTGAGAAACGCTGGTTTAGGTAAAAATCTTTCATTTTTCTGTACCTCAAATCTTTAATTCCTAAAAATGGAAGAATCAGTTCTCCTAGGATTTTGTCAACAACATGAAAGTCACCCCACTGCAAGCAGGGACCAGGGCCTGGCTGGAGCTCAGTGATACAGCGTTTGCCTTGCCTGCACAAGGACCTCGGTCGTGGCCGCAGTGCACATGTGTGTACACACACACACACACACACACACTAGTTATATTAGTAACAATAAATAGAGCAAAATTCTCCTTCAGAATGCCAGGTAGTGAATGTTTCTGGTCTTCAGGACCGCATGGTCACTGAGGTAACTTCTCAGCTCTGCCTTCACAGACTGATGATACCTGAACAGTTTGGACACCGGGCTTTGAATTCCATATAATCTTCACACGTCACTAAATAATTTCCTTCTTTTGACTTATTTCAACCCTTTACAAGTATAAAAACTATTCATAGCTTACTGACTGCACAAAAACAGGGTGGGCTGGATTTGGTGGGCCAAGTCCCGACCTAAAGACCTCCATGAAAGCTGGGTGTTGGCAAAGATCCCATCTACGCCGTCTGTCACACTTGAGGGAGAAGCTAAGGCAGCAGCTGATGTCCTGACGGGTCCGATCCTCCCTCTCGGGTCCCCACTGAGCCTCAGCAGTCAGAGAGCACCAGCCACAGACACCGGCAAATACCACAGCACAAGACAAGACCGCTTCAGCATCTCATCTAAGTGCAAGGCCACTGCACCACCCGCACAGATGGCTGAGCGCCCCCTCTGTTGCTCAGTGAGCAACCGCTGTTTCCTGACCAGGCGTAGAGCAGCCCCTGATGTTTGACAGCATCCAACGTAGCACCGCCCTGGCTCCCACCGAGCCTCCTGCCTGGGATCCCTCAAAGCCTCGGTCTTCTCAAAAGTTTCTTGTTAACACCTTCGCACAGGTGCTCTAAGTTGTCTGGGGAATCAGCTGTCACGCCCACTGCAATGAAAAATAAATTCCACTCATCCCATGTAGCCAAGTTCCCTGGGGACCTCTGGCTGAGGGACACCGATACTCTGAATAAGCTCCATCAGGGGGTAACATAGTGTGACTTTTTTCTTTTACATGAGGTTTTCCTAACCATGCGGCCTGAGAGGAAGGGTCTCCACTCAAGCCTCGGCTCTTTCCCATCTCAGCGGCTTGGGAAAGTCCCTCCCCAAACCCTGCTGCAATTTCCCTGTTGGTACCAAGAGGGAACTGGATTTCATGGTGGTTGACAGTGTCACTTTTGCAGTGCCTGATGCCAGCCCTGATGACCACCAGCCAGGTCTGAAAGCTGAAAGCCAGGTCCTCTTACAATGGGCTGCATGGACAAGAACCTCAGGGTTCAGGTGACCGGAACACATGTCCACATGTAGCTCACAAGACCCGAGCCCAGGGCACTGAAGCAGGCAGGGAAGGGCTGTTAATAGCACACTGAGGGCTGGGGGTGGGGGACAAAGTCGCTCTGCAGGGGACCGTACAACTGAAAGAACTCTGGCCCAGTGATCCCAGGCCCATCTCTAGCTCATTCTGCCCTTCCTACCTGGGCTGGGACTGTCGCTGCCACACAGCATCAAATGCCACAGAGTTCATCAGGCAAAATCCTCCACCAACCTCCTCCACCTGCATTTCAGAATCTCCCGGGTCCTGCTCACAGGGTCTGTTGTTGGCTCTGGAGTGGGGCGGGAGCCCGGGTATTTTGGAAAAGTTCTGCAAGTACAGCCAGGGTTGAGCAATTCATCTGAAGTTGCAGGTGGGAAAACTGAGGACCCTGGAGGGTGCCCAGGCCCTTGGAAGGTATGCACTCCCCAGTTTGCCCCATCTGTGAACCCTGGCCACTCACTGCCAGCATGAGTGGGAGAGGCTGCTAGCGGACGTCGGGCAGGGGGGACACTGGCACACATTGTGACTAGCTCGGCTCAGGAGATGGGAAGGGAGAGTCTCACCATCTCCTTACACAAATCAGTAACGTGAAAGCATTTTATCACAGGTATTATTTTTCTAATGATTACAAAGGCAATGGAGATGAAATGGAAAAATTAGGACAAGCAACGTGAGTACTCTTAACCATTTACCCAGGGGTCCACTTCTGGGATTTCTGTGACCACAGTGGCCTGAGAGACCACGCAGAAGCAGGCTGGTGGGGCAAAGTCTCCAGAGAGACGTCTCTGGGTCCAGAAATGCAGGTCAGTCCAGAGCTTTGTGCCCATTATGTAAGAGCTTCCTCAAATCACATGGATTCATGAGTTTATGTCAGGTAGGGGCAAAGCCACCTTCACATTTGCAATCTCACAAACATTTTGGAACAGTCTTGGGGAGTCAAGCTAGGTTTATTACCTTCTTGGGGAAACTGAGGTATGGAAAGGCAGGTTAAGGTTGGGATCAGGAGGACCTGGTGAGTTAGGGATAGAGCTAGGCTGTTGCTAGGTCTTTGATCTCCTACCCTTGACTCTCACTCCATCTCCAAGGCACCCACCTGGCACTTAGTAGGTCTGTCCTGGACCTGGCTGATCTAGCATAGTATAACATAAATGGCCTTGAGCCCGGCACACAGAAGGCCTTGAGACTTCCTGTGTCAAGTTACTCAGCCACATGGCCTGGGAGGAAGTCTGGACCCTGACTCGGTGGCTTGGGGAAGTCCCTCCCCAAACCCTGCTGCAATTTCCCCATTGGTACCAAGAAGGAGCTGGATTTCACAGCGGCTGACAGTATCACTTTTGCTGCCTGGTGCCAGCCCTGCTCATGCCAGCCCTGCTGACCACAGAGAAGTTTAAAAGCTCTACGTTAGGCAGGCTAACATCTATTGATGGATTTAGCACTCACAACAACCTACCCTTATTTTATAGATGAGAAAAGAGTCGGGGGAGTGGAATGGCACTGTAATGGAGAGTGGAGGAGGACAATGTTTAATCCAACCTGAAAGCCAGCTTTGTGAGCGTCGTTCCTAAGCAGCCATGGGTGGCATGCACAATGGCCTTCTTTGGGCAAAGGGAAGGAGGGGAAAGAGTTTAGATTACAAAGTCAGGTGGGCCCTTTACTGGCTGAGGGGCACTGAGCAAATCACTACTTTGAGCATCATTTCCTCCTTCGTCCCAGGGGGGTGAGAACAACGCCCCCTGCAGCCGAGGGGCATAGTGAGCGCATGTGCACTGAATGACACCCCCACTTGGGTGATGTGCAGAACACAGAACTGAGCAGGAGGACTGGAGAAAGCCGCAGGGCTACCCTCCACGGCTGAGCACCTCTGGGGTCTAGTCCACGCCCCCATTCTGGCTTCTGCTCCCCTCTGTGCAGCAGAGGATCCCCACAGCATGGATTCTGGATGTAGACAAGGCTCAGCAAATCACTTACAATGTAACTTCAGACAAATCATTTTTTCTCTGAGCCTCAGTCTCTCCATCTGTAAAATGAGAGCAGCTGCATCTCACTGCAGCTTCAAAGAGGAACAAGTGATGGGTAGGAGACACTGAACAGAGAGTATGGCTAGGGAGGGTCTTCAGAAAGGGTAGCTCATATTAGCCTGGCTGCGGTCACTGCTATAGACGGCCCTTGTGAATGTAAAGCCCCTGGGAGATTCACTCCTCCCCACCCCCCCAACACAAGTCTCCACTCCTTCAGTGCTGTCCTCACCTCAAGTCACCTGGCCAAAGCACAGAAACTGGGTGAAAAGAACATTTCTCTTTGCACTGGAATTAGCCTCATCCTAGCCTCAGGGGCTGATCATTAACTTGTCCCTGCTCTCTGATCCTGCAGCCTGCAG